TTGTTTCATGATTAGGATATTAATTTATTTGTGGCATTTATTTTATAAATTTTATATTTATAATTGTATTCTCCATATAAACAGATTCAATAAACCTTTTGAATTTAAATAGTCAATGATTATCTCCTTTTCAAATTAGGAGGGTGGGGTAACGTCGGAGTAAATAAAAATATAATGGTGTAAAAAAGTTCCCTGACCCCTGGTCTAAGTCAAGGATCTTAAAAGCTTTGAAGATAGAAAGAATTAAAAATGCAAGATTAGCAAGCAGAAAGTGACATAATGAGCTCACATTTCTTCTTATAAACTCATCTCCAACTCTTGCAACCTTGTCCTAACACTCAAGACATTCAAAATGCACAGTGAATAGCCACGGTCCCAGCAGTGCAGCAGAGTTCTCATCCAAAAAGTGAGGAGGATTCTCAGCTACCAAAGAATTGACCCTTCATCTGAATGAATTGTCACCTTGTCCCAGTTTAACAGTGCGCGCTTCCTCGAACCGAACTAAACTATTTAAATAATTAAACGAAGAAATTTATTTGCCAGCTGTTGTTTCCAAATTTTATTTTAAAACCAGTTCCTAGATTTCGTTGCTCATCCAGTAGCACTTGCGATGCACAAGAAATTGGGGACCACTTCTGTCATGGTCCTACTTCGAGATCCACATCTTTTGGAAGGTGGAAAGAGATACTAAAATTTATAATGCTAATCTACACAGAGTATTTTAGTTCAGGCCGAGATATTTGCTTGATTTTCATTGTACTCTGAAGCAAAGATTGATCTTTTTGAAACTTCTTTGAAAGAACGCTTTACGACCAGCACTTTAAAATGAACTTTTCAACAGTTGTAATTTGGATGTCACTCTCGTCTACGATTCCATTATGCCAGCAGTTTTCTTTCATGAAGATTATGCGCGAGGTAGAATCTTATTTTGGTGTCATCAGCAAGGTCAACTGATGGCGTTGAGACAGTAGTGTACATTGTACCAGAGAAATTCTCCTTTCATCAGGGGCAAGGCAAGGCTCCATGAAATATGGTCTTTGAGAAATCGAGCGTTATTTTACATACTATTATGTACGATCAGCTTATGATGCATTTAGTAGGTAGTCAAATACTATATGCCTGCTTAAATATCTCCTATGTGCCAGAGGTATAGAAACAGTGAGGCGATATGTTGTAGAAAGAGGCATTGGAAAAGTTATGCACCATTTAGTACAGCATAGAGATAAACAGTTTTTGTTCCTTTTACTGTATCAGTGACTGAGTCCTAAATCGACTGTTTCAACCGCGATTATAATCTGATCGTTCAGTTAATATATTCCTATGCCATATGACGTATTAATGCAGAAATATCTTCATGCATATTGTTTCTGAAATATATCCATTTTTTGCATACGTGAAGTCCAAATTTTGTTCTTTAAAAACGTTTTACTTTTAGGCGCTGTCATCTCAGACAGATGCAAAGGATTGCATAAATTGCCTGAGCAGCGACGGATACACACCTCTCTTTCTGGCTGTGATGAGCATGAAACCGTCGTGCATCGCAGCTCTGTACAAAAATGGCGCTGTTCTCAACGCCATGTGCCATGGGCGATCAGCAATCCACGAAGCGATGTTATTGAACGGATCGAAAGTGAAGGAGTATGCTATGGCTTTTAAATTTCACGTCGTTGTATTTACGTAATTTTCGTTATCACCTTTCTTCATGCATTCTGAGGTCAGATTGAAGAGCATATTCTCTCCATGTATCTTTAAGCAATATTTCGTTCAAGCTTTTTGAATTATTCTATGTTTGGCACTATCGTAATGAGTAGTCTTTATACTCTCTTGCGTTGTACCATTTCTGTGTCATCAGATAATTCGTTTTTTTCATTC